ACAATCGGATTGACAAAAACACTAAGGTCATCAGTGGAGGGACCAACATGCTCTGGACAGAGTCAGGGTTGAGAGGATGGGGATCCGCCACTGTGCCTCTGGGCGGAGTGGGCGTGTCCTCAGGTCCTTTGCCCGATCCCCCGAGCCTCAGCCCTCAGTCCCGAGGAGTTTCGAACGGGCCTGGAGCCGAAATTGCCGAATCTCCCAGGGCTTCCCGCGGTTCCCCTGGGCTACCCCCCGTGATGGCGCGTGAGTTTTGGGGGGCCCCAGAGGGCCCCAAGACTGGCCAAGAGGGCCCCAAGAGACCCCCAAGACGGTCCAAGAGGGCCCCAGCTCGCCGAAAGATCGCCCCGAGACGCTCCAGGTGGCCTCCAGGCGGTCCAACGAGGCCGCCAGGACGCCCCAGGAGGCATCAAGAGGCCCCACGGAAGGCCCTAAGAGGCAAATCTCATTCAAGGTTTGAGCGTTCTCGCCTTTTGCGGCACGACGATCCCAGGCGGCCCTGGAGGCCCCCCAAGATCGCTCAAGATTGGCCCAAGACGTCCCAAGAGGCCTCCTCCAAGAGGGCCCCAAAACGCCCCAAGACGGCCCCAAGACGGCCCATCAGGCGCCAAAGATGGCCCAAGAGGCCCCAAAGACGGGGGCCCAGATGGGGGACCCGAACGGACATTTCGAGCCTTCGGCCCCGAAGGGACCACAGGACGCCCCCAAGAGGCCTCCAAGAGGCCCCCCAAGAGGCCCTAAAAGACTCCAAGAGGCCTCCAAGAAGCCCCCAAGATGCTCCCAAGAGGCCCTGAAACTGTCCCCAAGCTCCCGAAAGCGCTCTGAGGAGACCCCAAGAAGCATCCTTGAGAGCTCTAACCCACAACCCAGGCACGGTGGCGGGATGGGCCGAAGCGAAGGCCAATAGATCCGCCACCCCCTGTGTGCTTGCCTCAGGGGTGCCCGCGTGCTAGACCCTTTCGGGTTTGCTTTTGGTTTTTTCCTAAAGAACTCTCCCTGGGGCTTCGGCCCGTCCCGCCGGTCACCCAGAAGGGCGAGCAGAGATGCACAACAGGTGGTTGCAAAGGTTTTCTAGGCTCCAGACGGCTCCAAGATGGCCTCCAAGATGGCCAAGATGGCCTCCAGGTTCGCCCAAGATGGTCCAGGATGGCCTCGAAGACGGCCCAAGAGAGTCCAGAATGCCTCCAAGCTCGCACAAGAAATACCTAAGACGGCCCAAGACGGCCCCAGAGGCCTCCAAGAGACCTCCAAGACGGCACAAGAGGCCTCGAAGAGGTCCTCCAGGGTCCTCCAGGACGGCCCGAAGAGGTCAAAATCATTGAGTTTCCCATGGCTTTTGAAGAATTTTGGCGTTTGCTCCTTTTCGGCCTTCCGACGACCCAAGACGGCCCAAGAGGTCCCCAAGATCGCCCCCAGAGCGCCCAAGAGGCCTCAAAGATGACCTCAGGACGGCCGAAGAGGCCCCCAAGAGGGCACAAAGACGACCCAAGAAGCCTCTAAGACGCCCGAGATGGCCTCAAAGACGGCCTTGGAGCACCCCAAGAGGGCCCCTTCCGACGGCGTCAGACGGGCCAGGAGCCCACCAAGATGGCCGAAGATGGCTCTAAGCTAGCCCAAGACGGCCCAAGATGCCTCCTAGAGGGCCTCCAGGACGGCCAGGAGATGCCAAAATCATTGATGCTCTTTAGGATTTTGAAGGATGTTGACATTTGCTTCTTTTCGGCCTTCCGACGGCCCGAGACGGCCCAAGAGCCTCAAAAGATCTCCCCAAGATCGCCCACGAGGCCTCCAAGATGGCCCCAGAACGGCCCAAGAGGCCCCCAAGACGGCCCCAAGAGGCCCCCAAGACGGCCCAGAAGGCCTCTAAGACGCCCTAGATGGCCTCCAAGACGGCCCTGGAGCATTTCAAGAGGGCCCCAAGTCGGCCCAGAGAGGGCCCCCAAAACGGCTTCCGACGGCGTCAGACGGGCCAGGAGCCCACCAAGACGGCCGAAGATGGCCCTGAGATGGCCCAAGACGGTCCAAGAGGCCTCCAAGAGGGCCTCCAGGAACGCCCGAAAAGGCCAAAATCATTGATTCCTAAGAGTTTTTGAAGGATTGTGGCATTTGCTTTTTGTTCGGCCTTCCGACGGCCCGAGACGGCCCAAGAGCCCCCAAAGATCGCCCAAGAGGTCTCCAGTATGGCCCCAGAACGGCCCAAGAGGCCCCCAAGACGGCTCCAAGAGGCTCCCAAGACGACCAAAGAGGCCTCCAAGGCGCCGAATATGGCCTCCAAGACGGCCCTGGAGCACCCCAAGAGGGCCACAAGGCGGCCCAGAGAGGCCTCCAAGACGGCTTCCGACGGCGTCAGACGGGCCAGGAGCCCACCATGACGACCAAAGAGGCCCCCGAGAAGCCCCCAAAGGTCCAAGAGGCCCCCAGGAAGCTCCCAGGAGGCCCCAAGAGTGTCCCCAGAGGCTCCCAAGATGCCCCCTCCTCCTCCTCCTCCTCCTCCTCCTCCTCCACCTCCTCCACCTCCTTCTCCGCCTCCTCTTGATCTTCCCCGCCATCCTCCCCCAAGTGTTCCCCGAAGGGTTTCCACAACGGTTGGGGGAACACATGGCCCGATACCTTGGCAGAGCTTTTGTCACATCGCTCGGCCACATGGGCGATTCTAGAAGGGGTGGGGCGGCGGTGATTCGCCGTAGGCGTCTTCGATCCGCCGCACCCTGTTGGCTTGCAACAAGGGTGCCCGGCGTGCTAGATCCTTTCGAGTTTGGTGTTGGTTCTTTTCCAAAAGAACTCCCCCCGGGGCTTTGGCCGATCCCGCCGGGGTCCTGGAAAGGCCCCGCAACCACCTCAACGACCGCAACAAAAATCTCTAAGGCGGCTCAAGATGGTCTCTAAGATGGTCACGTTGGTCCGAGATGGCCTCCGAGATGGCCCAAGATGGCGTCCAAGTCGCCAAAAATGGTCCAAGATGGCTTCCAAGACGGCCCGAGAGAGTCCAAGATGCCTTCAACTTCGTCCAAGAAGCCTCCAAGACGGCCCAAGACGGCCCAAGATGGCTCCAAGATGGCCTACGACTTGCCAAAAGGCCTCCAAGACGCCCTCCAGGAAGGCCCGAAAGGGCAAACATCAGTGCTTTTACTTAGGTGTTTGAAGGATTTGGGCATTTTCTTCTTATCAGCTCTCCGACGGCCCAAGACAGCCCAAGAGGCCCCCAACATCGTCCCAAGAGCTCCCAAGAGGCCTCCAAGATGGCCCCATGACAGCCCAAGAGGCCCTAAGGAGGGCCCCAAGAAGAGCCCAAGACGGCCCAAGATGGCCCCGAACACACCGAAGATGTCCTCCAAGACGGCCAAGATGGCCGCCTCCAAGACGGCCAAGAAGCCCTACAAGACAGCGAAGATGGCCCCAAGATGCACCTAAGACGGCCCCAGATGGCCTCAAGATGGCCTTAGACTGCCCAAAACGCCCTTAAGAAGCCTCCAAGACGGCCCAAGAGCCCTCCCAGACGTCCTCCAGGACGGCCCGAAAGCTCGGAACCCACCTGGTCCGATAGCTCGCCCGACTCCGTGTTCCCCGAAAGCTTCCGAAACCCACTAGGGGAACGCGTGGCCCGATAGCTTGGCCAAGCTCAAACCCAACTTTCGGCTACGCAGGCGCTTCCAAAAAAGGCAGGGGGCGGCGGTGATTCGCCAGAGGCGTCTTCGATACAATAAGAACGAAGGGAAGAAGGGGGAGGGTACCCATTGGTCGTAAGAAATAGGTAGAACCATGAAGTAGGAAGGCGGTGAAAATATGAAAGTAGATTGGGTGCCCGCCCGCCCGCCCCCGTAGGAGGAGGGAAGAGATGAAGCCACTCGATCCTTGAAGTAGGAAGGCGCACAAAGTATACTGGAATCTGGGAATCTAGAAATACCTATTTTCAACGACCGACGAGCTCAGGAGACAGGAGAAGAAAGGAGGGCGCGCCCCTCTGGAGCCAGGGTTCTTCGCTGACTACAACTGCCCCCGTCCACCCCCATGCACCCCTCTCCCTCGTGGGCATTACTATCCACATGCTCCTCCCTCCTCCTCCTCCTCCTCCTCCTCCTCCTCCTCCTCCTCCTCCTCCTCCTCCTCCTCCTCTTCCATCTTCTCCTCATCATCCTCCTCCTCGATCCTCCTGCTCCTCCCCCTTTTCATCATCATCATCATCATCATCATCATCATCATCATCATCATCATCATCATCATCATCATCATCATCATCATCATCATCATCATCATCATCATCATCATCATCATCATCATCATCATCATCATCATCATCATCATCATCATCATCATCATCATCATCATCATCATCATCATCATCATCATCATCATCATCATCATCATCATCATCATCATCATCATCATCATCATCATCATCATCATCGTCATCGTCATCATCATCAGCAACATCATCATCATCATCAGCATCATCATCATCATCGTCATCATCATCATCATCAGCAGCATCATCATCATCATCATCATCATCACCACCACCACCACCACCATCATCATCATCAGCATCATCAGCATCAGCATCAGCATCAGCATCATCATCATCATCATCAGCATCATCATCATCATCATCATCATCCTGCTGATCCTCCTGCTCCTCCTCCTCCTCCGCTTTCTCTGTCTCCTCTTCCTCCTCCTGTTACTGTTCCTCCTCTTCCTCCTCGTACTGGTTCGTATATTGTTTCGTCTACTCCTCCTCCACCGATTCCGACTCCTCCTGCTCCTCCATCAACGTATTTGTCTTGGCCGACTTGCCTTTTTCATGTGTTTCCGCACCACCTCTCCTTTCTCAATCTACACCCCACGCTCGGCCTACTCCTCCTCGTCGTCATTATCGTCGTCCCCTTCCACATGTCCTGCTGTTCCTCCTCCTCCTCCTGCTCCTCCTCCTCCTCCTCATCCTCCTGCTCCTCCTCCTCCCTCCTCCTCCTCCTCCTCCCCCGCCTCTGCAAGTATCCGCCTCAGCGCGCGTCTGCCCAACTCCCGGCGGCGGCGCACCGCTTGCGCCACGTGATGTTCTTCCACCCCTGCTCCGCGACCGCCCGCACGCATTCC